ACACACACACACACACACACATATTATATAATGTGTACGCCAAGTGTGCATTATCTTCCCTATCTCTATACTTAAAAGCAAGCAAGATAAAAATATCATTGATTTATAGAAGTACCATCAAGAGACGCACTTAAATGCAATCTGGATGTAGTTCTTTCACTTCAGAAATATTGAAATATTTTATATAAAAATATTTTATATAAAAATAAAATTGTGGCTGCCTGATATTTTTTTTTAATGAACTTTAATCGTTTCGTTCTTTTATTCGTTGCATTTGTAACGAAGCATTTATGTCAGTAGCGTATGTATTATCTATAAAATGTACATTCTAATTTCGAGAGGAGAAAGAGAAGGAGGAGAAAGTGAGGGCGGAGGAGGAGGAGATGGAAGGTGCACGGGGTAAAAAATGTAACTAAAGCAAGGCACGTTACGCAAATGTGTCTTTTTGCCGAATCGCATTTTCCGCGTCTATGTGCAATCCTCGTAAGAAGTGCATTCCTCGCGAAATATATCTTCGTAAGGTTCACGTATTTTTGTGGGATGAATTTAATCGTCCGTGATATTGTGGATGTACGTCCCGTGATCACGGCGTATCTCTCGCAAAGGAACAACACGCTCCACGAATGTGCGCGAATGTGTGTTTAGTTATTTTTCAGACATTTTTGTGACATTTTAAAGACATTTTATGACCTGATTTTAGACTTTATGCTGTTTGAGTAATGTAACAGAATTTGTTATATATTATTAGAGATAAATCAATGACAGATGTACAACGAGATGATCCAAAGAGATGATGCAATGATGAGTTGTACGAATTCCATTGTATAGGATTAATATATAATGCATTCTTTTAATTATTTTTAAATTATTATGAAGTAGATATAAGTAGTAACACACGATGGAACTCGTAAGTATCTTTGAGACTCATTAATCTGTCTTTCATTTATTCCTTATTTACTGTATATATATTATTTCAATTATATACCCAAACAGCACAAAGTCCAAAATCAGGACGTAAAATATCTTAAAATATTTTAGATCTCTTTTAAATGTCTTTAAGACATTTTATGTTCCAGATTTTGGATTTTATACTGTTTGAGTAATTATTAAAAATATATAGTTTATTAAAAATATATATTTAATTATATATAATTATATATAATGTATAACGTCATAATGAGATAGATCAAGTGTCCTTTGATTAGAATTATCCAGTCATGTCCAGTTGTTTGTATAAGTTTAGATCTTGTTTTTAACAGTCTCCGATAAACGATAAAATGTAGTGGGAGGTTGAACCGAAGATATACAATGTATTCGGTACATTCATTCGCGTCTGATTTTAAATATTTATCGACGATATTATCGACGATATTAATATTATCACTAATTCCGCTCTTGATTATGTAACGCGTTGCACACGAAACATCGGCTCGCTGCTCGAGAAAGAAATTTTGATTTCGTATTTTTGGCGGACTTTGAATTACGAAATTCCTTATTTGCACTCGCGTCCGTATTCAAACGTTTTGTCGAAACTCTTTGATTGAGGTAATCTCAGTGCATTGTCCGGACAGTTTGAGTACAAAACTATGATAATATAAAGCAACCCATGTAATTTTTTATAATTATATTTTGAATTTCATCAATAAAAAATTTGTTTACTACAAATATCTACATAATGTCCTTGATTTTACTTGTTGTACTCCCAAATTTATTAAAAATATCTATTACCATCCAGTCTTTTATAGAAAAAGTTTGTTAATCCCTGAGCGATGACAGAAAATAATTCGATCGATCGATGGTGGATTTCGCGAAATAGATTCGTGGAATCAGCAGCGGATCATCAACGAATTAATAAGCGGATACGACAAAGACTAATTTAACATAAGTTGTGAGCCAGCACACTGCGTATCGATATTTTTACAAAATATATGCTCGTTACAAAGTATGCTCTTGCAAAGTGATAAGAAATGTGCAAGAAACGACGCGGAATTATTTGAATATTTCCGCGGCGTGTACCAACGCGTTCTGCGAATCGCGTTAAGCAGCAAGAAAGAGATTTCAAAAAATTTTCATTGGAGAATACATCAGTTATCTGTTTCTTGCAATTGGTATATGGTATATGTTTCCGCTTGATTCTCGATAAAGCACGCTTAAACTCGACGTTTATGAAAAGACGCGAGTATAATCGTCCACGACGCGCTTTCGTATTTAAGGCACTTTTAATGGCAGTTACGGATATAATAGCGATAGAGCGCGACGAATGGAACATATATAATTAGGTATAATGCATGATAATGCGATTATCGTGAAGACGGAGAACGACACGTGTATTACGTAAAATCCATCATAAGCTGAAACTGTCGCCTCGATTATTGCGTCACTTATTCGATTAACGCGAATATTTGACACGATATTTCATATCAAATATTTCATGATATTGTTAAGTAACATATATATTGCATATCTATTCTATATTGAGCGAAATTTACGAAGCATAAAAATAAGAATTGATAGGTTGATACTTCTTAAAGCTCCTTATTTATATTTTGGGCCGTTGGATAATATGGCTATGTTTAAGCATGACTGGATGGTTCGATAATTTTGTCAGTATATTACTAATTCGCAATAGGATTTGCCGAATCGAATTCTCGAGAAGAACTCGATTGCCTGAATGTATACTTCTATTAGAAATAGCGATATACTGACGATTTGGGCGATTAGTACTTTAAACTTAAAATTTGAACACATTATTAAATTAAATTCACACTATAAGCTTACTTATAATTCTATACAATTTGTAATATGTACAATGGTTAATGGTCTATCGGCTTTAATTTACAGTTTCTCCTTTCACAACGAAAAGGCTCGCTTGCGTAAACGTCGCCGGCACGTTGAGCGCTCGCGATACGAGTTGACGTGAATTCGAGATGCATTCCGACTGTGCGACTTAATGTTATAAATTAATGCATAAAATTACTATTCAAGGATTATGCGCAAGAGATGTCAATGCGCATCTTTCTCGGGCATCTCTTCACGCGGATGTGAGATCTTCATTGAAAGTTGCGGCGAAACAACAGGCAGACCTTGAGAATGAGCTTGTCGAGGAAAGATGATGTCTCGGAATCGGATGGTCGTGAGATTATTAACGGGAAAGAGAGTTCGATTTGTTTCCCGTTCGTTAAGAAATAACGCTTTCTGTAGCATCGCGAAGAAGAAAATGTTGGAGGTAATATTTCTTCATCTTTCAATACTTCAATTTTCAATATTTTTCCACCGATTTCTTATCCTCCTTATTCTTTTCGGCCTTTGTTCCTTCCAACTTCAACCGCCTTTCCTCCCGATCTCGTATCACAAAGTCGGGATCGTTCCAGTATTGAACCTCGCCACTAGCGAAGATAACGAAAATTATATTCGTACCGATGAAAACGCCCAGGACGATCCAGAAGACGGTTCGCCATTGGGTAAGCGTTTGCTCGTGTGCCAACTCGCCAACGATGTATGGTGTAATAATACCAGTGAAGGCGCCGATTCCATTTACCAATGCCATCAGGGTACCAGAATAATTAGGGCTAAGATCCAACCCATTGACCTTCATCCCAGGATAGAAGGTACCTGCAGAAAATAGACAAATGTTAAAAACATGAGAAAAGGTTCTTATCTCGCGTTTACCTCGCAAACTGCAGATTATAAAATTTTAAGGAATGATACAAATTTACATTACATACCCATCAGAGCCATGCCGATAGTGAACATGGCCACCACTAGCGTTTTGTCGCACGAGGCATATGAGGCGGCGATAATAAAGACACCTGGACCTACGGAGGCGATCGTGGTGCCGAGTTTTCGTACGTTAGTACGCGACATGATGCCTTTAGTGATCATCCAGTCGGCCAGCCAGGATGACCCTATGCTGCTAAACCACATGACGAGATAGGGCAATGCTGAGACGAAGCCGTTACTCTTGATGGAATATTTCAGAACGCTGCTCATGTACTTAGGTAGATCAGTGACCAAAGTAAAGAAACCCCAATCGTGACCGATTTGGGCGGTAATCAGAGCCCAGACAGGCAACGAAGACAGCATATGCCGCCAGGGCACCGGTGGTGGTTTACTATGAGTATGTTCGTTCATACGTTCATGAAGATATTTGACTTCGCGTTCGGAGATGAACGGATGCTCGTACGGATTGTTGTAACAAAGCAATACCCATACGAGGAACCATAGTACGCCGATGCCGCCGAACACATAGAAGACTGCAGGCCAACCATAGTTATGTATAATTACGCCAGACACCGCATTGGCGAACACTGTACCAAGTTGGGCACCAGCAAACACTAGTGAACCTATAATCGATCTTTCCTCCGGCGGAGTCCATTGCGCCAACATAGCGTTCAATGCCGGAAAGGTCGTGCCCTCACCGAAGCCCATGAGAATCCGAAGCACGATCAGGCCAGTTGACTCACCCCACGTAACCACCACCGGTGTCAACAGAGTAAATATCGCTGTTGAAAGAATACCGAGACCGAGAGAGTACTTGCCACCAAACCTCTCAGCTAGCATTCCGCCTGGCAGATGGGTGAGGACGTAGCCCCAGAAAAAAGATGAGAGGATAAGACCCTGGAGTGAGGAAAAAAGGTATAAAAATAAAGACAAATAAATACAAAGAGGAGCAAATGTAAGAATAAAGATAACAGCGAAAGTAAAAATGATGCATGAAATGATGAAAATGATGCATCTTAAATGATGCATTTTATTGATAGTTAAAGATAGTTAAGATAGTTAAAAAATTCAAAATTTTGTGTAAAATCTTTGTTACCTGTGTACGTTCGTCCCAGTGATATCGATTATCATATTGATTGTTTGAATCACTATTTGAATTCGTTGATTCATTTGTGGGACAAGTATCGTCTGTGTAAGTATGATTTATGGGAATCACCATTTCTGTAATAGTGATTGAGAGGCAGACTCTCATGGTATAGGCATTTAGAATCGCCAGAAATCCCATGATGGCGAATATCCATCGCTGCGGCAATCGACCACCTACAATCATAATTTCGCAAACTCTACGTGATTAATTTCGTTGTGTGTAACAAACTGAGACAAACTTTAATCACTATGACTTATAATTTTAAACACAAGCAATAATTGCTGCAACTCACCGATTGCAAGAGTTTAGAAATAATGAAAAATATCATTGCGCATCAAAATTTTTTATTAAAAAGATTTCATCATTGGTCAACATTGGACATATTCTCGGCTTATTATGTTAAATTTATTATTTTTTACGTCGACTAAAAAATAATGTCCTTGTCACTACATCTTGTATCTACATATTATTGCGATAAATATTATCACGTGATCGAATCACTACATCTGGCCTGGATAATTCGAATCCTAGCTAAGATGATAATGTTTGCAAATAAGAATTTTGCAATAAGAATTTTTCGAGAGAAAGAAGGGGAGTAATCGGTATCATATTTGATTATCAATTTAAAAGAAAAATGTAGCTCTAGTTTTGAGCTGCCATGTTGTAAATTTGTTAAAAATAACGACACATGATGGGCAACATAAGCAGTTATCTTGAATGTATATATAAATTATATAAATTAAAAAAACTAAAAAAGATTATTAGGTGCTTAAGATTCTGTCGAGTGTTACTTATTATATTGTGTTATTTTTTTAATGTTATTTAAATGTAATCAGAAAGCAATACAATGTAATGAAAAGATCTTTGGGTATTACGGGTTAATCCATTTACTCACACAGAAGTTATTTGTGCATCCATCGCAAAGATTTACGTATCGGACTTTGATCACATTACTGTGTGCTTATCTCTGTTGTATACATTTTGTTATTCGATTACTTGTCGCTTGTTTCAAGATGTTATCAAAGACATGTTTTTTTTTTTTTTTTCTATAACTTTTTTATCCAATAAATCGCTCACGCGTTAATGTTTGTACGAAACTGTACTTTCACTATTCTACGGGTCCTACTTTTGACTTCGGCAAAACATTACGGCAACTTGCATTAAGACGAGATTTGGTTAACTAAACACATATGTCAGGTTACTTTCGGTTTAACTACGGTTCTCAGATTTGATAAAACTCATACAACATAAACTTTGCAACTATATTGTAGCAACATTGTTGCAACGTTACAATGTTGCAGCAGTATTATTGAAATAGCTGTAAAATTTGTACTGTACAAGAAAGTATTTTTAGATCTAATATTATGAAACACGAGGAAAATCACGAGGAAAATAATTTCAATGTGCGAGGCGAAGATGCTTGCGATGGAACTTCTTGATTTCGTTGAACTCGTTCAACCTTTGCATGGCAGTTTCTTTTCCCAATTTGGTGAATGAACCTTCGGCTGCGCGTTTTCTATTCTACGGCTGTTCGTCTACGATCACGCACGCATGCACGCGCGCACGCATGCACGTACCGTACATATGGTACGTGTCCCGATATACATAATGTGTTCCGGTGAACTTACTTATGCGATTCGATCACATTATAACGAAGAGGAACAATCGCATTGCGGCCTCCCGTCTCTTCAAGGATTTCGCGTTCAGGGTTGCGCTTTAAGAAGTACATCCTCCCTTAAAATTCATTCAGCCACGGAATGTACATCTTGCCTGACCTTTATCTACATAATGGCAATAGCTTGAACATCGTCCGTTCAGCTGTCGAATTGATCGCTATTCCTTCCTCGTACGCGGCTTCGACTTTCCTTGCCGGTACCTTCGACGAGACATCTCGAGGATGCAATGGCACATGCGTAAAAATTTTATTTAGATCCCGTTAGCCTCATTACTTACATGGAGAACACTTGACACTTACGTCAAGTTTCTTGTCTCAAACGTGAAATTTAGTCATTTATATTTCTAATAGATTATGTATGCAGAGTGTGACTCAAAAATAGATGAGTTATTATTATTATTATTAAGTTACTAATTAAACTTCTAGATTTTATTAAAGCTTTACTCAAACTCGATTAGAAACAAGCTTCATTATTTATTTTTATTTTCTTATATGTAATGCGACTAATTTTCAGATACTTTTTCAGATATTTATTCTTCTATTCTGTCGCATGTATATATTTGTGTATTTTGTCACATAGTGTTTACAAATTAATTAATCGATCAGATTTATATATCGAATCTATGATTGGCAATATTGTTGATAAAAATATATGTATAATACATCAAAATATATTAATAATATATATTAATAAATATATAATATATATTAATAAATTATTAATAAAAATTAGTGTTCTACTATTTTTTTTGAATATTGTGTAGAAAATGGGCAAGCATACGATATATTTGAAAATTACAATTTTTAAATTTCCGTTGATTTATGTACAGAGAAATCGAGTATTGCAACATTAATATTGGAACTAAATAGTATATTCAAAATTTATATTTTATTTTAAAATTATTATTGTGATATGCATAATTAATTATTTTTATATTTTATACATATGTTAAATTATTTCATACAGTCCTACAGTAACTCAAATCTTTTTAAAAAATTATTAATTTTTATTATTTCTTATTATTATCGGTTGATTTTAAAAATATTGTTAATTAAAAGTTTTTGTCTTTTAGTAAAAAAATATTGAGTAGGAATATTTTCTTTCAGAAAAATGTTAAACATCATGTTGATTTGTTTAATTTTTTATAATTCGAATTTATATTTATTTGATGTTCCAAATGATATGAGCAATATGTTTTTTCAAATTTTGATAAATTTTTGTTACTGTACAATCTTACATGGATTGTACAATAGTAACAAAAATATAGTAACAAAAACATAGAATGTTACTATTCAATACAATCTCCAATACATTCTTTAATTGCAAGCAGAATTATCCTGCTCGCGAATAAATTGATTTGCAATGTCGTGACACGTCGGAAACACTTTTACAAAAATTACAAAAACGTTTTTCGCAAAAGTGAATAAGAAGGAATAAGAGAAAATGATTTAGATCAAGTTTCCTCGAACGTTGATCGCTCATCATTGTTAAATAAACGAAAATTCCGAGGATTCCATTTACGATTAGATTTATTTCATTTGTCCTCTCCTTAATCTTGTGGCAAAGTTTCACGCCTCGAGTACGCGAGGAAAAACCGCAAAAGTGTTTCTTTTGCCTTGGAAAAAGTGGTCGGTGGAAATATACTGCATCTTGCAAAAATCTCACCGCGCCGCAGAACGCCGCGGTTTTTTTGCGTGTCTTGCGAAAGCCGATGAAGTGCCGACTTGATCGATAATAATTATCGCGCGTGGCAGGCAGTAGGAACTATTTTTGCGGGAGGTGACCCGGTAGCCTCCGAGAAGGGTTTCAGAAACAGGAAAAATTCCTTGCGGGAAGGTTCGCCTTCACCTGAAGAAAAGAAAGAGAAAGGAGGAAAAAAGAGAAGCGCGCGCTGATCGATGCCAATATGATCGGCAGCGTCTCAATTACGTCGCGAGATAGCGATCCTCCATTTGCCCCATATTATAAGACTAGGTATTAAAAATTCGCCAATTATCGGTATGAAACGTTATGTAATCGTCATTTGCGCGCGTGACGTACTCTTGTTTGACGTCGTGGCGCAATCCAATCATTGGGATATCATAATTGCTACCGCTTTCGCGCAGCATAGATAAGCGCGGCCGTGCGTCTCATACATTTACTTTAATTTTTTTCTTTCCTTTTTATTAGATGTCACGTTATTCTTTTTCAATATTCCCGTGCATTCATTCGCACAAACGCGAAGCGGGCCGAAAGAGAAGATGTGATTGAGAGAGCCTTGATAGACAGCGGTAGAGGGAAATGAAACGGAGTTTTGTTCTTTATTATTATGAAACTCACGAGAATTGAGATGTGTAATAGAGATTGATGTGTGGATATATTATATTATACCTATTTTATACAATGAATAAATTATGAAAAAATTATTGATTATTCTAGATCGCATTTAAAAGTAATACACAAAATTTTGCGACGGTTTAGAACTTGGATCAAAATTATTTAAATATAAGGTAGGTAGGTATGTATTTAATAAAAAATTGAGATTATTTTATAATTATTTTTTAATTACATTTTTATTAAAACACACGAGAATTGAGATGTGTAATAGAGATTGATGTGTGGATATATATTATATATATATTATATTATACCTATTTTATATAATGAACAAATTATGAATTTAATTACACACTTCTACTTATTTATATAAATAATTTTTGATCCAAGTTCTAAACCCAAGTTGTTAAACCTTTTCGTATTATTTTTAAATGCAATTTAGATTAATCTGTAAACTTTTCATAATGTTTTCATTGTAAATATAAAAATTTTAAAAAATAGGAATGTAAAATAGGAATGTACAATCCTTAATATTCCTTATATATTAACAAGTGATAAACTGATGACAGCATTGATGATCAAGCTTTATGAAAGTCATAGATTTGTTGCAATACACTTTAATTACTTGAAATAATTAAATCTATTGAATGGATACGAGATAAAATGACAAATGCTTTTGCGCAACAATGACAATGACGATCGTTAATCGATTTCTGAGAATTAACGCGAATTTTTTTTCCTTATCGGAGCTCAAATGAATTGAAGCAGCTAAAATAGATTATTATCGAATATGATATATCTGTGCGATATCTCGTCGTCCCGGGCTGCCTTTGGTGCGGAATTAGTGAAAAATAAACTTGCGACACACAACAATGTGATTTACGATCTCAAGGGTTCTAGAAATTGTGTGATACGCAAGACGCGCAAATCCGCGAGATTGCTTGCTGCATTTAATGGCGCGAGGGAGAAATCGTGAAATAGGTGCAACATCATCGGACTCACAGAATTATATTTGACATTTCAACGAAAGGGAAAAAATTGCGATGATGTGCAATTACGCAAGTTAATCGCGATTACTTGGTTTTCGCGCCGCGAATTGCGCAAATTTTAATATACAACTTTTCACTCTGAATTTGACGGAAAGAAAAGAATGCAGAGCGCATATATCATATTATCAGTTCTTTCTTGTTACAGATTAAGTCACCAGAAGTCTGTTCGATAGTTTAATCTGCGCGCGAATTAATCGACGCTATTAATTACAGTTACGAAAACATTCCACTGTCATCAACGAAGAGAAAGGTGACAAGTCGTTGTCGTCGATTCGTTCTTCACTAATCATCATGCGATTTAT